TCAGCACAAACAAGGCTTGCAGACGTTACAAGTGGGAGTTAGCCGTGTTTATTAGTGTCCCCTGTGTGATGGCAATGAGGACATTTCAGTTACAGCACACATCCCTAGTCAGATGGGTGCATAATTCACTGAGGTGTGTGCTTGAGTGTGGGTCCTACGTAACATTCCAGGGTGTTTAGACCAGTTGAGATACCTTACACATACAGTAGCTGCACAGATGCTTGCGACTGGAAACCTCAGCCTCCAGGAGAGCCTGATCTACGGTGAATGTAATGTGGACTCTATCTATTGAAATAATGTTAGGTATTTGTGAAGACCAGGGCGTATTTCAGAGTTTGGTGAGTCGGTCTCATCACTTGAGAAGGTGTTTCCATTCATTCATGGGATGGTCTAAGTAAGTTTCTTTGGATGTAACCACTGATCATGCTTGGCTATTTGCCTAGCTAAGGTCTTCCTGAGAATACTATCCCTCTGGGTAAGAGTTGCTTTAGTTTATATATCACAGTCACCTGCCTGCTTTTTATATAAATTATGGCCTGGTGAGTCTTGTCTAATCGGCGTCTCCTCTGCTGGTCGAGCGAGGGTAGCATCTGCCACTGCCCTGAGAGTGGTGCCTTCAGGACTCTACCTTAGAAATCAGTTTTCCTCTGTGCACTGCAGTCCAGGAAACCTGTGCTTCTTTAGAGAGCCACTGCACTTTCATTAGAAATCCCAGACAAACCTGGGAACTTGGTATCATAACCACCCTGTTGCCGTTCTCTGCTATGGAGTCTCTTTTAAAAATATATATTTATTTATTTTTTAGTTGTGGTTGACAAAATACCTTTATTTTATTTATTTATTTTTATATGGTGCTGAGGATTGAACCCAGGGCCTCACACATGCTAGGCAAGCACTCTAGTACTAAGCTACAACCGCAGCCCCTTGAGTCTCTCTTACCATCTTKTTTTTAAGTTAATTCTTTCTTTTTTTAAATTTCCAGCCAAAGGGCCTATTCCCTTTTGTCATATTAAGATGACAAAAGTTTTAGAAATCATTAACTGGTTTAAGTCATGAAAAGATTTGAGATAAGATTTGAAAAATAATTCTCTTATTTTTTACTTAACTGATTTAATCTTGTTATATTATCTACTATTGTACAAGAGGGCAAAGTAAGCCTGAAACTAAGAAGTTGTGAAATATTTTCAGAATTCCTCTTAATATTTAAGGAAACTATGTGCCTCAAAGGAATGTCTGGTAGTATTCTAATTTCGTTGGCCCTGCAAGGTGTGAGTATCTTAATTGAGATGCCAAAATAACAAAGCCAAATTGTATTTGATGAGATATACTAGTCACTTATTTGAATCTATCAGTTTTAAACTGCTTTCAACATCATTTATTAGCAACTTAGCAATTTTAGGAGATGCAAAGTAATTATTCATAGTCATTTGATGCAGATGAGAAACACAGAATGTGTCACTCTCGTAGCATTTTGGCATAACTGTGACGACTCAGTACCATCCAAGACCCTCATTGTCTCAGACAGCAGCGCTGCATGCATTAGAACCACTCTTGGTCCTCCTCTCCCATCCACTGCCTGGGCAAACCCGGGTCTGCTTCCACCCCTGGATTTGTCCAGTGTGGACATTACATGTGGATGGAATCATGCAACATGTGGCCTGTGTGTCTGGCTTCTTTGATTTAGCAGAATGTTTGCAAGTTCATCCATACTATAGTATTCCTTTTTATGACCATATAGCATTCCCCTATATGGATATATACCACATTTTACGTATCCATTTTTGAGTGGGGTCTGGGGGGCATTTGGTTCCTATTCTTGCCTGTTATGGATGGTTCTGCTGTGAACCTCAAGACTCTAGGCAAGAAAAAAGAAGTGGCATTCGTGTTGCAAAGGTTCTATTTGTGTGTAGATTGGTCTGTGTATAGGAAACCCAGAGGGATCCCCTAAAAATATGTCAACAACAATACTAGTGAGTTTGTAGGATGTAAGATCAATATAAAAAATGAATTGTATTTTATATACTAACAATGTGCTATCCAAAATAAAATTAAGAAGGCAGTTTCATTTATAATGGCATCAGAAAATGAAATACTTTTTGATATATTAAGATGGCTACAGAGGGGCTGGAATCATGGCTCAGTGGTAGAGTACTTGCCTAGCACACGTGAGGCACAGGGTTCAAACCTCAGCACCACTTAAAAATGAAATAAAGATATTGTGTCCACCTACAAGTAAAAAATAAATATTTTTTTTTWAAAGATGGCCACAGAGCTCCCCAAATTGATCCATAGATTCTACACGGTGCCTGTTAAAATTCTAGCTATCTTCTTTCCAGAATCTACAAGCTGATCCATTGGTTTTACCACATGCAGATATAGGAGAGACCATTGATAGCTTGAACAATCCAGAAAATGAATAAAGTTGGAAGACTCATGCTTCCAATTTCAAAATCTACAAAGCCAGTCAAGACAGTATGGTACTGCATAAAGAAAGACACAGATGGATGGATAGAGTTGAGAGGCCATAAGGAAAGCTTTTTGTTTGTTTGTTTTGTAGTCAGCTGGCTTTGACAAAGATGTCAAAGCCTTCCTTGGGAAAAGAAACAAACTGTAAAAAAAAAAAAAAAAAAGATGCTGTGCAAGAAATGAAGTTGAATTCCTTCCTTCCATCATAAACAAAATAGAGTAGATCACAGACCTAAATGTAAACATTAGAATTGTAGTATTTTAAGTTTCTCAGTCTTCAGAAATTATTCTGAGTTTTCCCTTTCATTCTTCACAGTTCGGAATGAATAAGCAACCAATAAAAGGCTTTTAGGAATCTAAATATAGAGCTTTACAAAGTGGCTGGGCCCGTGGCTTAGTGGTAGAGTACCTGCTTCACACATTGAGAGACACTGGGCTCGATCCTCAGCACCACATCAAAATAAATAAAATAAACATAGAGCTTTACAGCTCAAACCTAAGACATCAGTAATCTTTTAGATGATTTTCAACTAAATGTACATATGTAACAGTACATTGAGTATCTTAGCATCTGTCTAGATATGTCTGTGATAATGAGCACTACATTTCAATGGGTCTCTGAGCCATGTACACAGAATCACTCTCAAGATTTTTCTAAAGGGTGGTAAGAAGAAAAGCATAATAAATAGCATTGTGGAAGTTGAGAGCCTCAGCACTGAAATATGTTCAGCAGGCTTAAAAAGGACAGTAACCAGGGCTGGGGTTGTGACTCAGTGGTAGAGAGCTCGCCTAGCATGAACAAGGTACCAAATTTGATCCTCAGCACCACATAAATGAAAAATAGAGATATTTTGTCTACCTAAAACTTAAGAATAAATATTTTAAAAGGACAGTAATCAGAGTGCTGGGTTAGAAAAGTAGACACTTCAGAGCCCCAGCATCTTTGTCCAAAAGTGGTCTGAATGGAGTGATTGTAATCCTGTGTCTTTGTTTGGGGAAATACTTGTTGTTCATGTAGATTTATTGCATTTGGAAAAGCCAAATTTTTCTTCTCTAATAATTTCTGAAAAAGGATGCCCCAAATTAAATGGTATATCATGATTCATTACAAGCAATAACTTGAGTAGGTCACAGTCCACCCCCTTGCTTCCTGGCCACCATGAGATGACTGCTTTCCTCCTTCGTCCCTCTGCCATTAAATTCTGCCTTATTCAGACCCAGAGCCAAGGAGTAGTGACCACCGACTGAAAGTCTGAAACTATGAGCCCCACAGAAACTTTCTCTCCTCCAARTTGTTCTTGTCAGGCATTTGTTTCACAGTGACGAAAAGCTGACTAAGGCAGCCCATACACGTAGGTTCAGAAGATCTTTGATAGGGTGTCTGCAGCCGTGAGCCAGGAGGCCCCCCTACTGCACCTCCAACACAGCTGAGGAGCATCTCAGCTCACCTAGCTGCTGCCTGCAGTGGTATAAATTACTCTTCAAAGACAAATTATTCATTAAATCCAAAATATTTCATTATACTAATATTTAATCTCAAAACTTAAATATGGAAGCATCAGCAAATTTCATGTGAATAATAGAACTTGGCAGTTTTTTAATAAGGAAACAGGTGTCAAAGTTGGTTTATCACCTGACAAATGGTTACATAACTACCAAACCCTAACAACACAATTTAGGGCATCCTAACAACTTTGTGCCTAAACTTCTCTCTTGATTGTGATAACTGTTCACATTGCTGCTTCCCCACGTCACCATCCATGCATGATCCCTGTCTGAGCTCCTGAATGGCTACAGAGGCACCAAGGGAAGAAGAGGTTCTACAGTAGTTCATTGCTGCACATTCTTTCCATATTCATAGGGCAGTCAAGCTCCTATGTTCTGTGAACACATTAAGTAAATCACTTGCATCTCATGTGTTTTTGTATATTGCATGAAATATGCATGACCCAGCTTTTCTGCAGTCCTGATGATTATCCCTTTTGATGCCTCTGATGTAAATAAGCACTTCCTGGTAGCTGTCTTTCCGAAGCTCCCCAAAGGAGAGTGTGTTCTATCTTGCAGGTGATACAATGGTATGCCCAGAACTCACCACATCTCTAGTGTCTATTCCTTGGCCTAACAGTACATAATTTTTCAAGATAGGCTGTCTTAAAGCTGATGGGCATGTCGACTAGGGTCCCATTGGTATCTTCCTCAGCTGTGCTCTCCACTGTGACTGTGAAGATGGTGACCCTGCTTCCTGGTGTTATGCCTGTCTCTTTCCGAACAGGCAGAAGTTGCATTCATGCCATATAACAGATCTGGGAAGCAGAACCTAGAGCTCTTCATTTAACTAGAGCCCTGCCCACTGTTGCAGGTGGAGCACCTCTCCTCCCATGGTCAGCATCAACACAGCGAGAAGAACAGCATGCAGGTACCTGGTGCATCAGCAGAACATCCTGGTTGCACAGTTAGCTCTCTGAGAACAGGCAGGTGCAGACCAAGATCCAGAGCTGAGGCCTTCCTTATGCAGTGCTGTGTTTTTGTCCTAGGAACTCTCACCCAGAATGAGATGACATTCAGGCGGCTCCATCTGGGCACTGTCTCCTATGGAGCTGACACAATGGATGAGATCCAGACCCACGTCCTGAGCTCCTACGCACAGGTACATGATTGATTTCTCCAGGAGCTATTCTCTAGGGAGGAGCTAAGACCCTGTTGAGCTACACTGGGCCTGTGTTATATCTCCGATGGTTATATCTTATTACAGTATCACTTAAATCATTAATTCTAATATTTCAATCCAGGAGTAGTTTTCAGTAAGCATTTCTATATCAATGTAGTCACAAAAGGGATAGAGGGCCTAAATCAATTACTTACATTTTTTCTTAGTGAATTATTTGTTAAAAAAGGTAATTCAATAAGCAGAATTTTGAAGAATACTCACTAGATAACTGTCTTTAGTATGTTTCTTAACAGTCCCTTTGTTTCTCTACATAGTAAATGAAACTTGAGCTCAAAATTTTAAAGAAATTTTTTTCATTAAACAAAAATATAGTTCTATGAGTCCTCATATACCTATCATTCAACACTCAACAATTTTCAGTACCTAAAGGATTCTGTAGTTATTCTTTCTCATCATGTTTTGAAGTGATGCTCAAAAATCATACTATTATCTGAAAATTATTTATTACATGTCTATAATAGACAAAGATTTGGGGTTTGGTAAGAATTACAACCTCCCAAGAGTTCTCTGAGGTGTTGGCAGGAATTGTGTGTGCTTTTTTTGTTTTTTGTTTTTTTCTGTACAGGAGATTGAACCCAGAGGCACTTAACCACAGAGCCACATCCCCAGCCCCCTTTTTTTATTTTATTCCTATTTATTTATTTATTTAGAGATAGGGTCTCGCTAAGTTGCCGAGACTGACTTTGAACTCGCAATCCTCCTGTCTCAGCCTCCTGAGCCGCTGGGATTACAGGCCTGTGCCACCACTCCTGGCTAGGAATTATGTGCTTTGAATGTGAGGATGACCTCTGTGATCTATTCCTGGGTCTGGCTGCTTCTCACAGTATGTGTTTCTAACATTAAACTGTGTGTAGATCAAATGGAAGGTTCTCACAGCCCTGGCCCCAAGTAGTATTTGAATCTCATTCATTTGGATTTTTTTCTACCTGGCATAATTTTGAAGTCACTGATTCAGTATAATTAAACCTAGCGGTTCAAGGCCGTGTATTTAACATGCCAGGTACAAAACTGTGGTCTGTTACGAATTTCCCCTTCTTAGGTCACTTCTCTGCCTGTTTGTTGGTTTGCTCTGAATGCAGTAATCATATCACCTTGAGTCCAGGCCTTGGGTTTCAAGAAGTGCATAGCTTAGCTGGGTGGTCAGAGCTCAGGTCTTGTTGGCCAAACTTGTGACCCCGGCCCAGAGCCAGGGAACGTCTCACATGTACTCATTCTCTCCAGAAGGCTTGGCGCAAACTAGGCTGAATTGCACTTTGCCTTTGCAGTTCTCCACTGTGACAGGTCAGAATCCCATTGCCAGTAGTGGGTACTAGTATTTGGAAACCTCTCCTCTGAGTTGCTACCAGTTGGCATGTATTATACCCTTGAGGGTTGCCACATAAAAAGACCTCATTTTCATGTGTGTGTGTGTGTGTGTGTGTGTGTGTTCTTTGTATTTATTCATTCATTCATTCATTCATTTGCAGTGCTCCCTAGCACCTCATATATACTGGGCATGTGTTCTACCAGAGATCCACATCCCTAGCCATAGATTATTCATTAATAGAAGAGAAATCTGAAACAAAGGAGTAAAGCGTCCCTTTTCTCCTAGAATTCTGTGTCTGTATTGAAGTAGTGCCTACGTACATCTGTTTTTCTAAAATTAATCTATATTATCCATGAATATGGTTTTAGTGGTTCCAAATAAGTCATTTTAACAGCAAAAGTTAAAAGCAGAAAAGATCAAAAATGGTTACAAAGACAGATATTTAAAGTTTATACCTAAGAGGGCTTTAAAGGTCATTTCTACTAGAGCTATCTATCTGTACACAGTACTTTGTGTGTGAAGTTGATGTCATCCTTGTTTTGTGTTCTGCTTTGTTAGTGAGATGACAGTGGTCTAGTAGATCCACTGTAATGCAGCACAGATCTTTTATAACCTGGTTACATTCCCCTCTGGAAGCACTTGGTGATGGAGGGCATAGTCTTTAATGGAATTTGTGTGGAATTAGATTGTGTAGGCATCAGTAAGCATAATTCAGAAAAGGGGAGTGGCTGGACCTCTCTGCTGCAGGGGCAGTGGCATTGGGAACCCAGTGCAGGTGTGGGGCTGGCAGCTCTGGAGGGCAGTGAAAGGCAGTGCAGGCCAAGCACCAGGTAGACCCTCACTAAGCAGTAGAAGACTCGAAGTTCAGTGGCTCTCTACACCTAGTCCAGTTTCTTAAGATTGTCATGAACTCTCTGAAGTTACTAGGAGAAATGAGTGCAGATCCTATTGGGGTCAGGACAGTGTTCTGCAACATGCCGCTCAGGCAGGAGGTGAATCACAGGAGTTGTCACTTGGGGTGACAATTCACTCACACTGCTGGGTCTGATGAGAGCCAGACGTAGTCACTGCACACAGTGGGCAGCTGCTTTGAGGTACCAGGGGTCATTTCCTCCGAAGGAACCCACAACTTCACACGACTGCATCTCATTACCATTAGATGCAAACCTGACTCGCCAGTTCAGAGACGTACAGCCAGGTATGCTTGTGGTATGCAGGGAGGAGTGTTACAAGCTCTATCCAACTCTCAGCTTTATACCAGTTCGTCCATAGCATTGTTTGAGAAAGCAGAAAGATGTTGTGGCCGTTGCCATTCCATTTAGTTGTCTAACTTGCTCTGTGTTCAGAAGCAAAGAACACAAATTATTCAGGGTGTAGCAAAGTCATGCCACAGATGAAGTGAGGTAAAGTAAAAAGAAGTGGTCGGGTTTTAAGTTATAGCAACCATCTTGGTATGCTCAACAACCTAGAAATCCCAAAGCACTTTACATTCCTAAGACAGAAAAAGTAGCTCAGCTGTGTAAGACACAGACAACCACTCTTCTTACCCTAGCAATTTCTTTTAGCTTACAAAATAACAGGTGTCAATAATCCCTGTGTCAGCCTCTAGTTTTCTTTTTGGCCCATAATTATGTAACATCCTTCATCTTAAAGGTTCATCCTCAAACTGGTGGAAACAACCCCAGTTCAACCCCACCGAGAAGAGCCCAGTCTTCAACTCCCAAAGTCAGGAAGAGTGTCAGCAGTCGAGTCCACGAGGCAGTGAAAGCCATCGCCCTATGCCACAACGTGACCCCCGTGTATGAGTCCCAGGCTGGTGTCACTGGGGAGACTGAGTCTGCCGAGGCAGACCAAGACTTCAGTGACGAGAACCGCACCTACCAGGCGTCCAGCCCAGACGAGGTGAGTTGCGCTCCTTAGAAACTCTTGCTTCAGGAAGTAGTTTTTCATGGTGCAGAGCCCTCTGACCTCTGTGCGCTGGCTGTCTCTGGCATAGGGAGCAAGGACTGCGTCCCAGCCTCCATAACTGCTCCGTCTGCAAAGGTGAGAACTGTCTGCCCGGTCTAGTGCATGCCCTCCTCAGTCCTAAACTGTTCCTGCCTCCCAAGGTAGCTGAGGATTAATTACAGGAAATAACATGAGAAAAACGTGAGTTTTGAGTGTTATAAACTAACTTGTGACAAAGGCAGATCTACATAAAGCTGTTGAAACTTGGGACTGTTATACACTCTGTCATCCAGTTTTTTCCCTCATCTCCAAATGAATCATCAGACTTACATATTAAATATCCAGGTATTTTGTCAGAATTTAGATACAGGGTATCTATAAGAGAACTCGTGCTGGGCGTGGTGGCTGACGCCTATGATTCAGTGATTCGGGAGATTGAGACAGGAGGATTGCGTGTTCAAGACCAGCCTCCCAGCAACTTGACAGGACCTTGAATAGAAATAAAAAGGACTGGGGATGTAGCTCAGTGACAAAACACCCCTGGATTTAATGCCCAGTATTAAAAAAGATAGAAAATTAGTATCTAAATAATTTCAAAATTTAAGAGACATGGTAAAAATTTTAAATAAGGTAAATTAAACCTTTGTACCTTTACATCATTCTTAATAATCTTTAGAGTGGTAAGATTCATTACTAAATTTTTTTACTACCTCTGCGGTCTTAGCATATTTCATGTACAGCTTGGTATATACTCTGTGCCCTCGAGGAACTCGAGATGGAGTACTCAGTCCAGCTGTGGAATCAGGGTAAATAAACTGCTGCTTCAGGGACCTTGTCAAACTCGGTCACATACGTGAGTAATCGGAGGGAAAATGCCTGTAATCAAAGTGAAAAGAGGAACTCAGACCCGTATTCTCAAGAGAGAGGGCTGTTGGTTCTGGCGAGCAGGTGTGTTGCAGAGGAGAAGTCTCTGTTCTGTAAAGCATTTTAGTCCAGAAGCAAGGTGTGCCTCTCACCCACCCTCACAGCACTGGGMTGTCAAGTGTGGAGGTGTCACAGGTCTCACCAGTCCTTTTCTAGAGCATATCCAAGAAAAATGAGAACATGTGTACACCCAGCCACTTGAACACATGTGTTTGCAGAATTGTAGCCAACAGGTGGAAACAGCCTCAACTGTAAGTGGAGGGGCAGAAGGTGGTCTGCCCACACAGCAGAGGAGCAGCCAGTCCTGGAAAGAATGCTGCAGCACGGAACCTGGGGAATGTACGTTCAATCACAGGAGGCCACATGGCCTGCGATTCCATGTATACAAAACGTCAGAACAAGGAGGGTGCCRGGAAACAGCGAGGGAGTGATGGCAACAGGTCGGGACATCTTTTTAGGGAGAGAAAATGTTCTGAAACTGATGGTTGTGATGAGTGCACAGCTCTGTGCATGTACAGAACCCAATAAGTTTGAATGGTGCTGCGGTGTACAGACTGCGGCCTCACAAAGCCACAAAAGAGAAGCTTCAGAGTGAGTAGACAGGCCACACAGATAGGAGGAAAGGGCACTGACCCCAGGGCTGCTGCACAGCTAGCCAGCAGACCTGAAGGAGTGTGGGGCACAGGGCATCGAGGACAGAGAGGCCTGAGAGCACACAGGTCCCTGGCAGTTTACACTGCCGAGGAGAGCAGAACCTTGCCCAGAGGGGTGACGGCAAGTGAGCACAAGGAGGGTGGTACGTGTGCCACGGAGTGCAGCACTTGACCCATATGTCTATTTTGCCAGTGACGGTCACACAGAAGATACAGCTTGAGAAACTTGTCAGGAAAGGGTCCTCATGAACAACCAGAACAAGTGCCCCACCCCAGGAAGAYGGGAGTGAGCAGATGTTTGTGTGCAGAGAATGGAGAGGGAGCCCCACTCCTTCCCGGTGCCGAGGGCCCCACCAGGGGTAGGACGTCACCCAGAATCAGGTCTCCCTTATCTCCTGCAGGCTCTGGAAACAGAAGGGTTCTACTTGTTTGGGTTAGAAGAAAACAGTGCCATCATTTCCTTTCTCCGCAAGGGCGCTGTGACTGTGTCTCTCCTGGGGCAGGATGGGGTTTCATGTCAGCAGAGTTCTCAATTCTTTCTGGATGCAGGCAGGTGGGTGCCTAGGCTTTTCCCTTAGTAAATCATCTTTTAACACATACACACTAGCACCTGACTCCACCAGTGCCAGCCATTCTTGAGAGGTGTGGGGCTGGCAGCTGTCCAGAGATGAGGAGAGCTGTGTCCTGCAGATCGTTCTCTGAGCTCGCCGTCAGGTTGAAGACTGATGCTGATATGAGATAAATGGGTGGTCGTGAAGACGTGTCACCCTCTTCTGGTGTTCTAAGGTTCTCCAGTACTTCTGGAGGTAGTGGCTCTTGGTGGTTCCTCCTGAAGTTGGTCCGTGGGATTTAAGACATATGGCCCCAGTTGCCTTTTTCTGGCACATAATGATAATGATAAGGAGTAGTGAAATGAAAGCCTAAGTGTACCAGCAGATTTGTGATACTTCACAAAGCGAATGTCACTGGAAGTTCAACAGGAGCTGATTCCTGAAGTGTGGCAAGGCACATCCAAAGTTGAGAAGGCGTTTGTCCTCGTGGTACATCATGAAACTGACGAGGAACCGGGTCTTTCTTCTCAGAGGACACTGACACAATCTGCGATAACTGGAGTTTGTTGAACTGTTGGGATTTCCCAGAGGCTCCAGAGTGGAAAGAGGGGAAGCTGGGGTATGGAACTGAGCACCATTCCTTGCTCCTGCTYTCACTGCAGCGACTCTTCTCAGCCCTGCAGCTGGTGGCCCAGCGTTCAGGTCCCCTCTGCCACAGCCCCCCTTGTCTCCTGAGTCATGTCGATCAGTGAATCCGCCCAATCTCTGGTAGCTGTTTCAGTACAACTTGTGGGATCGTGTGTGTGTCAAGGTCTGTTGTTCAGTGGTAGGGAACTTAGGAGAACACCATGTCTCCACAACCAGGAGCAGAGTGGGGACCCACAACTGACAGGCTGGGTGGGTAAACATACAGGACTCACCAAGTGCCGTCTTCTTGGCTGAGGGCCACCAGGTGCCAACTTCTTGGCAAAGGCTTTGAGACAGAAGTTATAGCTGCCTTTTCCTGTGAAGACAGGGCTGAGTGCTTTCACTGCAGCGACTCTTCTCTGTATGTGCTGTTGCCGAGCGACTAGAGGTTCTCACTCACATGATCCCACGTTGGCAAAGAGCTGCTTCCTGGCTGTAGCGTCGGGCACTGGGGCCGGAGACCTTCCAAGGAACATGTCATTGAAGATTTTAAAATACTGCACTGTGGGGGCTGGGGTTGTGGCTCAGTGGTAAAGTACTGGCCTAGCACGTGTGAGGTGCTGGGTTCAAGCCTCAGCACCACATAAAAATAAATAAATAAAACAAAGGCATTATGTCCAACTACAACTTAAAAAAAAAAAAAACTGCACTGTGGGTTTACCTTATTTCCTGCCAAAAGTACAAATTTTGTTAAAAGTATGTGGGACTTTTTTTAAAGTTTTTACATATCATAATACCTTTTAAATCTTAACCTAGGAATTTGCAATAGAGGTTTCATTGATTCAAAAATTACTAAGAATTTAGAGAAGTTATAACATGGAAATTATTAATCTTATATGTCACTTTTTTGACCTGTTTGGAAATTGGACAGTTATCGAAAGTTGCAGAACATTAAGTAATCTTTTTAAATCCCTGATATATATTTTAAATCTGAAAAAGAAAACAGTAAACTTCATCATAATTTTTAAAGAGCTGTATTGATGCAATGTTTGCAAATCCCCAAAGCCTCAGGAAAATAATCTAAATGGTTCATTATTTAGCTTATTGAACTTTGCTGCAGTTAGGTTGACGGATGATAGCAATGTTTCCCAATCACCCAAGTACCGTTTTAAAAGCATTTTTTATTGAATAAAGTGCTTAGAATATTGCACCCTGGAGCTTTATTTAGGGAAATGGTTCGATTGATGTTTTCTGTTTAACCTCAGCTTTGACCTATCACAACATATATGGTTAATAAGCTGCAGCATCATGTAAGAGACCTGACTAGTTCCATGCATTCCTTATCAACGCCACACTCTTACAGCCCTCTTGGTTATGGTGCCAGTGTCATCTCATCCAGAGAAAAGAGTGTCATTTGTTAGGCAGAATGCCCTGGTGTTTGAGTCTCTGGCTGCCACCGTGTATGCAGCCTTGCTTCCCATTTTCCTAGAAGCAGCAAGGATCTTTTATCTTACCTACACATGTACACAGATGAATTTTTATTAAACAAATAATGGAATTCTGGAGGAATTCATCATAAGTGCAAAGGTCCTTGCTTGCAGTGGTGTGAGTACCGGGACGCTGGAGGTGTGCAGAGAGTGGCGCTGGTGTCTGTGTGGACAGCCTTGTGGTGTTCAGGACGGGAGGCTGCTTATGCCCTGCCCRTTGTTTCTTATGATAAGGGATCAATATTTCATTTTCTCTAGGAGAGCAGAAGGTTCTGCTTCCTGTCGTTTGTCTCTCTCCAGGCTCAGCATAGCCTCAGCCGAGAGATGTCAAGTGCTCCCTGGAAATTCCTTCCTGATTTACAGCCAGTCCCTCTGGTTGGCACACCCGTCCCGTGCAGTTGCAGTAAGCCTGTGTGGAGTACATACATGTCTTATGTGATCATGAAGGACTTTAGCTCAGGTCCTCCAAGGACCGGGGCCTAGTAGGACAGACCTGCAGAGACTCTGCTGCTCTGGTCCAAGCAGGTTGGCTGTGGATTTTAATATCCGCCTGGCTCTATAGCACCCGTTCCCCACTGTGGCTCCATGTCCTCCCAGCAGTAAGTTCTGCGTTTAAATATTATGCCAAAATGTGGCTATCGTTGCCTTGCTTCAGCACTGATGTGCAAGAATCAGCTAGAATTAATGACAAACCACAAGTGGGTTACTTAAAA